GGCGGAAAGGTTTTTGGGGTTGAAAAACCAGCGTCCAGTCGTACAAAAAGTGCGGCTTACCTTACCTTACCTAGGTAGGTACCTCGCCTTGCCTAGCATTAGGGCAGGGGCATGAAGTGCAGGTGAAAAGTCCCCATTGAAGTCGAGGAGTTCCGTGTTTTGACTGCACGGTTCGGACCCATCTTAAGCTAAGAGGGTTTTAGGTACGGGAAATGCACACTAAGGCAAGGAACCTTGGGCCGGTGAGCACTTGGTCTTGATTAAGGGATCTCCGACGTTGAATCATGCTGTGCCCCGGCTGATGGTGGTATCGCGCCGAATGCCTCTGTCACTGCCACCGCAGCCGGGCAAATATGGCAGGAAGCCCAGAGCGGAGGGGACTTGTTGCACGCATGATAGTCACTTTCATTGTTCTGGCATCTCCGCCTCCCTCTTCCCTCCCGCCCTGGTTTTCGGGACGAAGACCCCTCGGAGAACTAACTGAGCACACTTAGGCACATTGGGCTTTGGAGGTTCAGCAATAAACCAACCTATGCCATCGGTGCCGCGCCGGATCCTCCGTGGAACGAGATGTACGCATACTGTAGTCCATTGTACGAGGCGGAGCTTCGCGGCCGATGACCGGCAGCACAGTACATTGCAGCGCGCGTGGTACCTCGACATGCGGGCAGCTGTCTCGGCCGGGGCAGCTATCTCTACTTGCCGTAGCCGCCCATTGACCGCGGGATTAACACCCCGATTTTCAGCTTCGGAGATGGGGCGCGATTGCCACACTTGATTGGGCACACAGGCCCGGTGCTATGCTGTTCTTGGGCGAGGCCCGCCGTGGCCGGGCGGGGCCGTAGTGAGAGAGCCCAAAAGACATCCGGTACCATCATAGGTAATGAGGTATAGCTGAGGACAGCCTCGCGTGTGGACTCCAACACCGTCCGTTGCTTTCTTTTTCCAGCTTGACACCGCAGCAGTGCGTCTTGACAGCGCCATCAGACCGCCGGATACCGGACAGCGCTACCTCGTGGAACTCTTCAGATGACGCGGTATGGTTCGCTGGCGTCGGGAGGGTGACATGTCCTAATTAGTCCCCATGTCGTTCGTTCTTAGCATCAGCATCGTCAGCCCCTTCACATTAGGTAGCTAGCACGTAGTTGCTGGCGTTGGTAATACAAGCTCATCTGGTAAACTAGCCATGCGAGACACAAGTCGGCGAAGGCCACGTCCCGGTTGTCGCCAAGCCGGCCACGTCCACCATATCCACTGCTGCGATGCAATGTCTTGCCCTGGGCGCTTCCGTTTCTTGGGTACCTACTTGATGTTGAGATTCCAGCCTCTGGTACAATACAATCAGTAGATACGTACAGATACCCTGTCTGACTTTGTTGTCTCTGCGCCACCAGCTGTCGATGGATGGGATTGATTGGCGGCCGGAGAAACCCACCCTCCCCTTTTCTACAACTGCTTTGCCCGAACGGCGTCGCCCTCCCCCGTCATTCGTTATCGTGCTCAGGTGCCAGGCGACGACTTCTTGGACGAAGCCGGGCGAAGAACGGTCATCGGCGGACCACTCCACCAACGGCAAAGAGTGTACGCATGTTTGGTCCAGTTCACGTCTAATCTGACACCTGCCATTCGTCTGAGCGATAGGAGCCCCCCGATATGCACCCCGGCTGCTGATTACGATTTCGATTGTGATTGCCAGCGCACTCCAGCAAGGGCCCGGCCCACCCCCATGAATTGCGAGTTGGGAAACCGAAGGAGGGCGCACCGCAGCACTAGCGCATCGCCGACAAACGCCTCCTCCACCACCACCACCAGACTGCATGAGTGAGCATGTGCAGGAAGGAAGGAATCATGCCCTCGCCTGACGGCCATGCCATTTCCGCCCGCGGAATATCTTACGAGTCCCAGAGATTCAAAAGATGGGTGTGAATTCCTTTGGTCGGATTAAATGGGATATGTGATTCTGGTGTGGTCACGATAGATCCATGGATGGCTTTTTGGCGATCCTACTGACGTCGCTCGGTTCTGCAAATTCCATTGGGTCATGGTCACTGACTCGCTGTCGTGACACATGCCGCTGCAAGCCTGGCCACACTTTCTTTGGCCACAACAGTGGCTACTGGCTAGGCGTGGTGCGTTCTACAATATGTGTCCATTGCAGAGTCTCACGGCCAGCCTTTAAGCGTCGTAGACAGTGCAGCCCCGATCTAATGTCCCAAGTTTCCAGGGGTGGATATTCCATTCTTTTCAGTGACATTCACTTGGTTCATGCACGAAGCGAAGGAACGAACCGAATGTTCGGGATCATGTGCCATGTCAATGCACTGTCATCTCGGCCTAGCTTCGTCCAAGGTGGGTAACCCATCTCATTCTCGGCTGTGGAGAATACGGCGGCATGTTCAGATGGACAACAGCCGACCGTTATCCTGGGACAACTTCGAGGCACGGGACACATAACCCAAACGAGACTTTTCTTATCTTTGGCCCCGCCTTCCTTCTGGATATCGCTGAAAATACGACATGATTGACCAGAGAAACCAGTGCACTTCGCCGGGATTGCACCGCGGGATCCGAGAGCTCAGAAGGAAAGGCGGCCATAGAAGAATGTATTCGTACACGACCATAGGACTGTTTGGCGGGTGTTAGAGTCTCAAAATTTCGATGCCCGAAGACCGGAGTGACAATATTTGAGCAGCAGCGTTGTATGTTAATTGGGGTCCTGGCTCCCACGGCACATGCGCGCGGCCCGCTTGTGATATGGAACGGTGCCACGGGTTTGGGACCGACCCAACCTCGGTGATTCCTTGTCCGACTTGCTTGAGGCTTGTGTGAGATTTTAAGAACTTTGTGCTCAGAGAGAAACCACAGCACGCATCGAAATGCTGGCCGGGCGGTATGGCTGACGCAGATCGGGCCGGCAGCGGGAAAGTAGGAGAAGTCTCAGGGGGCCGGCTTTGCGAATCATCCATCCCACATAGCGCTAGATTTGGCTCAATGATATGGCCTGTGCATAGCATCTAGGAAGTTTGGTCTTGGGCAACAGATGGCTCCTGGTCAAGTTGCAAGTTGGCCAGCAAACCCATCTGAGTCTCAGGAACGCCGATGCTAGCACCTGCACCTCTAGACTCGATTATCGGGGGTTCCATCCATGTCAGTCCTTGTCATTAGGATTCTACCTTCGCCAGATAAGTCATTGAATGTCATCCGAACTCGATAACCTTTGAAGGGGGACGTGTCCAACTCGGCGCCTAACGCTCACACAACTCGGGGCCGATCTGAAGCGACACCCGAAATGCAACTGTCCCTCTCTTTCCTCACACGTCGCGTAATGTGACGAATGCTGGCCTACCTAGGTAGTGTGCCGCCTCGGGTTGAGCGATTGGACTACATTGCCATGTCAAGTAATCTCACAACGTCACCGGCAGCGAATCTTTAGTAGGAGTCCCGTATGATCAAAGGAGCAGTGCCATGCAGACAGGGTCTAAGTAAGTGTTGACCGCCCTGCATTCTTTCTCCTTCCCCACAGGATGCATTTGTTTGGCTGTGAGTGTGCAATCAAGCGATGTCGAGGACACTGACTGGTGAAAAGTCAGGTGTTGGGCAGCTCGACTAGTAATGAATAGAATCGGAAGTAACGACACCTGGAGTGGAAGTTGGGATCAATGCTGTGATGCCACGAAGTCACTTGCACCTCGGGATTCCGGGGGGGGGGGGGGGGGGGGGGNGGGGGGGGGGGGGGGGGGGGGGGGGGGGGGGGGGGGGGGGGGGGGTTGATAGGCAGATTGGCCAAGAATTTGTGGACAAGCTGACTTCATGATGTTGGATCGTGATGCATGAGTGCGGATGCAATGCGTTTGGTATTGCAAACTCCAACAGCATTCGTCTGGATGGTGGCTTGAAGACGCACCTTGACCTCATGTGACGTCATATGCTGGACCCTGCATATCGTTGGCACGGGGGGTCGAGGTCCAGACGTGGGTTTTCAGCCGGCCACAACCAACGATAGGCTGGCTCAGGGCAGGTTCCGCTCTTCGAATTCTACAGCACTCCAGATGCCGCCACAACACAACCGCCCTGCAGCGAATAACTCCGGAGCCCATGTCGTGATAATGTAACAAGGTGACCTTGAGAGGCCAAGTTATGCTTGCTTGGTTAGATAGTCGGGTACGAGTATTGGAATAACGGGCGACTAAAGCCATGAAAGCAGATTGAAGGAAAGGGCCAAAAAAAAAAATAAAAAAATGTATTGGTGAGGAGAGTACACGACGTGGCAGGCCGGGCCCTTGGAGAAAGATTTGTTACCAAACGACCTACGGCTAAGTATGATGCAGAGTTTCAGGTTGCCTTACTGGTCCGCCGGGTGAGGCGAAGGAAGACTAAGACCGCACTTGTGGAAAGCAAGAAAGAGCCCCAACATTACCCCGAGCCACTGAGCGGACGCACGCGACTGCAGTGGAGTCCTCCGACCCGTAAACCCCCGCAAAACTACAGCGGTCAGCCGATCGCCTACGTGTGACGCTATCCTCGTTAAACAACTCCCGTCTGATCTCGGTTTTTGGCTGGTCGGGCTTGGTTTCTATGACAGACAGACAGTCATTCAGACCAGAGGGAAGAGGGACGTGTGCCTGCAATCGTATTGGCTTCATCTTCCGGGACTTTCGACACTGCCTGGACTAGTCTGTCCATCAATCCACCCAGACCTTTTCATTTTCGCACCCATCATACTAACCCAGCCAACCAACCCAAACCCACGCCACACCCCTCCCCACCCCCAAACGACAACAACATGGACTCCCGTGTGATTTACGCACTGTTATATAGGCAACCCCCAGGTTTCCTCCCCCTCCCGTAGTCTTTGTCTCTTTGCTCACCATGCTCGTCTCTAGAATCAACCCTCCGAAAAGCCACTAGAATTCTTGCTACAGATCTGCCTGTCTGACCATCCTTTACCTCCCTCGCCTCTCCTCACCAGCTGGATACACAACCGACCATCCTTACTAAGGATGGGACGCCCTCACCGTCGAGCACCCGATATCGATTTGGATGGCTCTTACCAGCCGCATGCATATCAGTATAACCGACCGGCAGCCGCCCCATACGACGACCCATATCCTCCCAGGGGTCGCAGCCCGGGACCCCGCCGTCGCCACAGATCTGAGCCTACAGCCGCACCCGTCGCCTATTACGACGACAAATCGCAAGAACATGCTCAAAAGAAAGATCCTCGCGAAGGTCGCAGGCACCGCAAAGAGCGCAAGGACACCGTACTGGACGAACACATAGCTCCGGTAGATACAAGGCGTGATCGCAAAGCTCCTAAGGAAAGCTACCACGACGACTACGATGAAGCCCTTCCTCGGCGAGCGCGAAGCCATGGGCCCTCCGCGGGGGACTCGTATCGGGCCACCAATGATCGAGAAGGCTTCGACACATACGCGCCCGCATCTCGTCGGGGTCGTGAGCGACAATATGCCTACCACCCGCCCCGAACAAGCGAGACAAGACGCGCCAAATACTCTGACTATGACCCAGAAATGCGTCCCAGTAATACGCGTCGCTCCCGTTACGCCGACTACGATCCGGAGCCTCGGATCAGCGACAGGAGAAGGTCACGTCACGCCGAGGATGACGGCGCTGTTCCGCGTAGGGCTAGCGCGACATATCGTGCTCGACATTCAGACTACCAGACCGACCCGCGTAGACGCTCTACAGAACGTGCGGCCCCGAGCCGCGGTAATGGGAATAATGACTCGCCAGGCCGCTTTGTCCAGCCAGGGCAGGAACGATCCGCAAGGGGTCAGTCTGTGCCCAGGAATCCTGCCGTAGGAAACGCCGCGCGAGGAGCTCGGCCCCGGGCGAAGTCTGCCGTTGGGTACGCAGCTCTTGGTGAAGCTGCCCAGACCGCCTTTCGTGTTGGCAGCCAAGCGGCCTATCAGATGCGTAATGAGCCCGGGCCTTGGATCGGCGAGAAGGGCACCAAAGTAGCTACAGCTGCCCTAGGTGCTGCTTTGGTGGACACGTTTGTTGGCCACAAGGCTTCTGGTATGAAAGGCGGCATGCGGCATCAAGCATTGCGTCAGGCATGCGAGATGGGCATACGCAACTTTGTGATGCAGCCCGCGGTCAACAGTGCCAATAGCTACGGTGGAAGTGGGGGTGGCAGTGGACGCAGACGTCGGTGATGTATCATATGGGTGTTTTGGCGTCGATATACTGATGAATGCTCTCTGCTGCTGTTTGTATGTGTTCTCAACGTAAGTGCTTTGTTTAGGAGTGTCTCTGAGCCTACTCTTTTGGTGTTGGAATCGGTGAAGGCGGCGCTATTTTCCCATCGAATTCACAACAGCAATGTCAACTAGGAAACGTCATATTGCATGAGAGATAATGGCAATTCCTGACAATCTGCTATTATTGTTGTGATCCTACGTTACTCGCCCTGCAAGCGTCTACTCTGAATTGTACCAGACTGCACTACACTCTTGACATTTGTGTCTGTATTCAGTATTTAGCATCCTAGACACCAGTCTTTCCCGTAGGACCAACATAGGTACCCAGGGCTGTTGCTATTATTGAGCCATGGAAAACATCACTGGAGTATGATGTGTACCTGTCAAACGCGTCTGAGTACCACATTCACTTCGGTCATGTACCGCAAGTGGCTCATGGATCATCCCGCTGTACATCGTCTCAGCGGCAACATACACATTTTCGAAATGCTGAACTAGTACACTGCACGAGCGAAATTTTGGCATTGCAAACGCGTCCGTGAGTTATGTGAAAACCGTGATGGTCTATTGCAATTCGCTTACTATGTTCCTCAACATTCACGCCGACCCGGCTTTAGCTTGTACAACCAACATATCTGCTTTCACCTCGGACGAAATGAGGGCCGCAGCCGCCGAACCCAAACACTCCCTGGCCTCGGTCGATACTTTGACAGAGTTTTTGCCCTCCTTGGACAAAGCAGAAGTACGTCGACCAAGGACGATGAGATTATGCCAAGCAATGCCCCGTGAGTCAACCCGAATGCCGGAGGTAGCCTGGCTTACGGCAGCCTCGATGGGATTGCTAGCAGATGAAACTTCAAATTTTACTCGGGATCCTGTGGCAGCTGGGACGTGTGTTGAAATGAAGCCGAAGAAGTCACTAGCATCCTGGTCAGCTTCGGCCGACGAAGCGAAGTGCACAACAGTGGCCGTGGCGTTCTGCTTCTCGCAGAGCTGCAAAACTAGGATGAGGGCTAGCTTATCATCGCGGCCACCGAAGTAGGGCATGAAGATGTGATGGGACTTGTTCGTAACCGGAATCGATGGAATATCGTGGTGAATGTCGCTAAACGAGTAAGTTCGCATGAGTTTGGCCTTCTCGCCGGATGAGGTTGTTGGCCGACAGCCGTCGTGAGAGAAGAAAAGCCCGATGTTATGCTCAGAAGAAGCAAGTATTGATTTGGCGAATGATGTGTATGCCGTTGCAAATTTGTTTGCGGCACCATCTGCGGGTGAAACTTGCGAGTCGACCAGACTACCGCTCTCGCTCCAAGGAACCAGGAGAAGATCCGATGAAATATCCGACGACTTGGATAGCAGCGCTTCAGCAAAACGTGCCTCGGGCATGATCGACACTTCGCCAGACACGGCGACCTTGAGAAACTGGCCGACGGTGCGGAAGATGTTGACCACCGGGTCATTTTGGCTCCACTCGGCTACTTGGGACACTGTCATTACAGATGAGTCGCGGTCAGTAAGATGTAGCAGACGAAATCCATGAGCTCGCACAGCCTGAGAGTTAGGTGAAGCCTGCAGGTTGGCTGTTTCTGAATGAACGCCGCCCTTCTCATCCTGTGCCACATATTGGTTGTCAGATGCAGATTGCTTTCCGAATAACGACACCAAGTTCAGCATTGCCGGCATGTTGTCCAGCCGAAGGTATACCAAGAGGCGTCGAACGCGGGTGCTAGCATGTTTGGCGGAGTCTGTGTCGTTGCCCGTATTATATTCGGGATGAAGATCACCAGTATCCCAGTCAATCTCCCCGCGCCTCCAAGCTTCAATCTTCTTCTGATACCACGGAGGGTATAGGACCGATGTCAAGGGCGTTGTGACGAAAGTCGTCAGCAAAGCCATAACGACGAAAATGGTAAAAGTGCGTGTGCTCAGGATCTTGGCTTGCAAGCCGATGTTCTAGTACGTCAGTCAGTTTAGCTCCTGATGTCAACAGTCACCTCATGCGCAGCTCGCGCGGAAAAGCGTAATACTAACCAATACAATCAGCTCAACAAGTCCCTTGCAGCTCATCAAGGCTCCAATGGAGAAGGATTCTCTCCAGACCATTCCGTTTAACTTGGCAGCAAGAGTGGCACCAATGACTTTGGTGAAGAAAGCGGTGAACGTAACAGCAAAGACGTAGCCCCATGTTATGCCAGAATTCAGCAGTCCCAGGTTGGTGTTGAGGCCTGACAGTGTAAAGTATAGAGGCAGGAATAATGCGCCGATCAAATCCTCCAACTTTTCGGTGACTTTGATAGCAAAGCCGTTTTCACGAGGAAGGATGAGGCCAACCATGAAGCCTCCGAAAATAGCGTGAACACCAATGATGCCCGTGAAGAATGCCGAAGTAAGTGCAATCAATAAAATGAGCGAGATCATGCCCTGGGAAGGCCCATTTTCGATATTACCTGATCGACGCAAAAGCCATGTGATGGTGGGCTTGACGGCAAACAGCAGAAAGAGCATGTAGCCGATACACGCCAACAGAATCCACAAAGCAGATAGACCAGTGCCCGCGTTGGCGAGAGCGACACAGAGAGCAAGCAAGATCCAACCTTTAAACCCAGCAGGTTAGATCGAGAGTTCACACGAAGTAGCGAATGCCGAGACACGTACCAACAACGTCATTGGCTACGCCAGCCGAAAGCACAATGACACCAACCTTCGTATCAAGAAGCTTCAGCTCCGTCAGGATTCGACACAAAACGGGGAAGGCCTAGATTCGGCGAGTGAGCTTGAGTCAGATTTGAATTGGGTTTTGCCCATGGAATGGAGCCGGAATACCGTGATGGCGATTGCAACGCCAATAAACAACATGTACACACTAAAGTTGATATGGACGAGGCCCTCGTCCCCGGAGAATTGATTATACAGGCCCCATGCGAGAGCGCAACCTAGAGCAAACGGGAGGGCCAACCCAGCGAACGCGACCGAGGTGGCAATCCGCCAATTGCTGACTAGAAAGCGAACATCCGTTTCAAGGCCGATGAGGAAGAGATAAAGCACGAGTCCGACATTGGCAACAAGGGTGAGGTTTGGTATAGACTCTGTTGGAAAGATGGCGTTGCGGAAACCAGGGATGCGGCCCATGACCGATGGACCGAGGACAATGCCACCAATGACCTCGGCGATGACTCGAGGTTGTCGGATCTTGGAGAGTGGCCAATGAAGGAGATGGCAGACAATGATGATCAACCCAGCCTGCACAGAGCGACAGTCAGTCAGACGTCCAAGCATACTTTCGAACAGACTGGCGGGTCTGAAGAACTAGTCCACCTACCTGGATGATGAACATCGTGATGGGATCCTTCGGATTGTACACCGAAGGGTTCGCGCCTTCGATGACACCACCCTGAGGAGCAGCTCTGTTTCCGCCAGTGGACGTCGGGGCAGCCGCCGAAGTTGCCGTCGCCGACAACAGCGAGGTTACGGACGACATGATGGTTGGTTTCGGCACTACTGTTCTTGTTCAGGTTGCGAATGAAACAATGATCGGGAGGTTCAGCGTGGGCTTTCGGGGAGGGCGACGGATTCTTAGTACCGGAAGCCAATCGGGATTACAAGCCCGTGCCTCAATGTTGCGAAAGTTGTGCAACCTTTCTGCTGAGTGGTAGCACCAGAGGAGGATCGGCGGGCAGCTTCCTTTATGAACAAGAAACAGCGCCGTCGACGATTTGGGTCCAGCCAGTCGGTACAGACGTTGGCACAGAGGATGCGAGGGCGAGTGATCTAAGATAATCCAGCTCGTCTTCGACACCAGGCAACAATGAGTGAGGTAGATAACTGGTTGCTAACGGCTTGGCAGAATGCAGATAGCGTTGGACTTGGCGCTGTATTTTGGTCACTTGCCCATTTTCGCGGTAGGACCAACAGCGACACGTGAAGGTGGTTCGTGAGGGGTTCGTAGGTCGAACCAGGGATCTGGCGGCCTCAGTGAACGAGTTCTGGAAAGTCACCGTGTCCCTCGCGTCTTACGTCTATCAAGGTGAGAAAGTCTGTCAGCAATTGATAGACGCGACGCTAAAATTACAGCCTGGGCAACACAAACAGGGCACATGCCTGGGGGCACATGGCACTATCGGTGGCGATATCAACAGCGATGGCGCCGCGGGCGTTACCGAAGTTTTCAGGTGACAAACATGTTATTGCAGGGCAATTAATCAATCCTGTACGACGATGCAAGAGGCGGCATACGCGCCGGGGCCGCTAGCCCAGGGTCCTTGACTCAAGCCTCAGCCCCGTTTGTTAGAGAAAGCACTCCCAGCCGCCTTGTTTATTCACCGCCCTCGCTTCGTGGTGTCTTTTGGCCGCATGGTGAAAAGCACGTTTCCTGCGGGGAAATGCGGGGGAACCACTTGCATTCGTTTTTGTACAGAATGCGGCTAAGTAAAAAGGTAAGGTGACCAGCTTGTGGATCACGTTAGCGCGCTTTGTTTGGTCTAGGCCCAGGCTGTGCAGAAGTCTGGTTTAGATAACAGCTACCTGACTTCAGCCCCCCTGAGGGCTTTTATGCTTGCATAGAACTACTCTATTAATATAAAAAGTATAAATATTAGGTCTCTATATAGGATACTTATTTTACTAATGCTATTAATAACAGCTTTATAAATTTAACTCTATTAGACTAAGTACTAACTAAGGTACTTTTACTACTTTTTCTCTTATTATAAAAATTAAATAAGATTAAAACTTTCTTAATATAGATTTAACTTTAGATTTATTAAGAGCTAAGAGTTAGAAGAGACTAAAGAGTTTATAAAAAGATATATATTAATTAAAAAGAAACTACCTTATAAAATATTCTTAAATTATAAACTTATTACCTTTATATTATGAGGATTACTAAGTAGGGTTACTAATAAGCGCTTAGTGAAACTTTAGCTAAGTAATACCCTAACTTTAATAGTAAAATCTCTACTTCCTAGGAATTTAGAGGAAGTAAACTATAATTAATATACTAGATTAACCTCTACTATAACTTCTAGACCTTTCCTAGTTAAAGCCTTTAGCTTATTACTTTATAATTTTATAGCTTCTACCTTATTTTAAATAACTAGTATAAGTTAGAATATCCTATAAAAAGGGTAATACCTTACTAAATAGTTAATAATTAGACTTTAGTATAGATAAGTTATAAGAGTTTATATTTAATATAGGGCTATCCTCTTTAGGGTTTTATTAAAGTATTTATAACCTTATACTAAGACTAAGTTAATTAAAAGTAATACTAATTAAATAGGAAGAGATAATTAATAACTTTATTAATAAAGTAATTA